CCGTACAACTCTTACAAAAACAAAATCATACCGAAACATCCAATCTCATCACTTCCATCATCACAGTCTTTGTTCCGGTCACATTTCTGACTTGGGTCGATGCACTTTCTTCCATTTGAGCACATGAAATGCTCCTTGGTACATGCTGGTTCAAATGTACAAGAAATAGAAAGAAACATGATCAGCTTATAAATTTTAACGCTATCCGTACGTCGTGTATTACTATTGTATTGTATCCATACGACGTGGGGAGCTCTGTGCCACCACTTTCCAAAGAGGAAATTTATCCGAGAGAAAGAGAGAGAGAGATAGAGAGAGACAGAGAGAGAGAGAGAAGGAGATAGAGAGAGAAAGAGAAAGGGAGAAGGAGAGCGAGAGAGAGAGAGCGATAGATAGATTGATAGAGAGACAGAGAGAGAGGCACTATTAACCATCCCCCTATCTCTCTTTTACCCTTCACACATTCAAATAGACTCGTTCTCAGAACTCTCCTTTCAGCACAATGTGACCTCGGCCTTTTATTATTCTGTCCGTCTTCAATCACACAAAATGAACCAATGAGATAGAAAGGAAAGGAAAAAAACCCTAACAAAAACACAAAAAAACACACATAAAACAAAACAGAACAACAACAACAACAACAGCAACAACAACAACAACAACAACAACACCGCCACCGCCACTACCAACCCTCCCCCCAAAAAAAACACACAAAAAACCCCCCAACCCCACCACCACTACTACCACTACCACTACCAACAACAACAACAACACCACCATGTACTACCACCACCAACAACAACAACAACAACATCACACCAGCATCACCACCACCAATAACAACAACAGCATAAAAATAATAATACATTTTTAAAAAATGAGGACAAAAATCTGCAATGTGGTACGGTACCTTTGCAACCCTTCTCATCGCTGGCATCGCTGCAGTGTGGTGTAATGTCACAGACCCAGTACAGAGGGACACACATCAGGCCATTAGCACACTCAAACTGGTCAGGGCGACATATGACTGTAATAATGATGATGACCATAATGATGATGATAATAATAACAATAATAATAATAACAATAATAATAATAATAATAATAATAA